AGTAATAAAGAATATCTCTAACGCCAGAAGAGCAAATCATCATTAGAGTCAATGCTATAGCTGAAGAATTTGAAGGGCAAGTATCCAAGTCAGCGACTAAGGTCATTTGGGCATAAATTCTCGAAAAGGTCTCGCTGCTTTACCACTACCTGGCGTCTCGTGCTCCTCGAGCGCTCCAGGCTGCATGGCTTCCGCTCCACTATCTATCATATATGTAACTTACGCTGCCACTACCATTGTTTTACCACTACCCTCTACCATATGTAACTTATGCTGCAACTACCATTGTTTTACCACTACCATTGTTTTACTACTACCCTCTTCCATATGCAACTTATATACGATTCCACTACCATTGTTTTACCACTACCCTCTACCATATATAACTTACGATTCCACTACCATTGTTTTACCACTACCCTCTACCATATGTAACTTATGCTGCAACTACCATTGTTTTACCACTACCCTCTACCATATGTAACTTACGCTGCTACTACCATTGTTTTACCACTACCCTCTACCATATGTAACTTACGCTGCTACTACCATTGTTTTACCACTCCACTCTACCATATGTAACTTACGATGCTACTACCATTGTTTTACCACTCCACTCTACCATATTCAAATTTCGCTGCCACTACCATTGTTTTATCACTCCTCTCTACCATATGTAGCTGACGAGGCCACTACCATTGTTTACCACTCCCCTCTACCACGCACATGTAAACTGACGATATGGTTCAAATGAATGGAAATGTCATATAAATCGAGAATTTCTGTTCAGTGAGGCAGAAGATAAATATGCACAAATGCTTTAACTATTTTGTGGAAGGAACGGATGCTCCTTACAGCTCATTAATGGGAACACATCTATAGGGTGGAAGAATAAAAATTATGAACAAGAAACCAAAATTAAATACAAGAAAAAAAGTGCAATCCATGCAAATATTTTGCCAAGTCATTTAAGAATTTAGCACATAGCAATGGTTTCAGCGAGCGAGATTGAGCTTGCATGGAACGTAAAATTTTATCGGCAGTCGTGAGATTCATGACACTGATTCTGCGGTTAACGAAAGTAACACAAAATATTTTCTTTGTGCTGACTACTGCACTTATTCCAGTGCTCTGAATTTTCATAGAGCATTTTCCTGATGAGTCACGCTGAATTCAAGTCGTATCGTACGTCCATCTCACATTGGACGGTTAAAAGTCTCGAGCTGGAAGTCTCAAAATGGATGTAGAACTAAAAAAGTGCCTCATATCAGCCAAATAAAAAATATATGATGTGTACAGATATATTTTCTAATATGCTAGATAGCAACGATTCTGCACGCTTATAAGGCTTTACATTCAACAGAACATTTGTCCGCGTATACCAGAGCCGCCTCCTCGGTCAACATCCAGCAACAGTGCAGTATAAATGTTCGTATCACTGATACCAGGTCATGTTTGGAGCTAATTTGCACTCGATGTCAATATGAGCTCAGTATTTAAAACTTACGACGGTCTAAAAGTCGCCCGCGATGATATTTATTAGCGTTAATCGCAGCCTCATTGGCCATGGCAAGACATAGGCATAAGCATCGTAAAATGCAGCGCTCAACAGAAGAAAAAATTAAATCAAGTTGAACTTGCAATAATGAGCATTTAAAAAATACCAGCTTCAGATAATTCAATTTTGGCTGAGTATTTCTTCATAATTAGCCTTAAATTTCTACTGCCTTGAAAATGAGCCTTGCACTACGGTTCAACAAATTTTATCAACAAAACTTTATACACTCGGATTCATCGTAATCTAATCAAAATTCCTGCAGTCAGTTGATCTTCGACAACTTTCATCGATGTTTTTCACACACGGTATTCATATTCACATTCAAAAAAGCAGGAGTAGTTCACTGCGTATGGGGGGCATGAGCTGCGGTCTAGGGTGCGTTTCATTAGCATAATCAGCGAAGCATTCCATGCCTTGATGCTCGTAATACTTTAACTGAATTCTCGCATATTACGGCACAGATCTGGTAGTGAATCTATTTGTATTTGCACTGTGAGAAAAATAAGTAAGTACGAAATTATATCAATGGGTGTTTGGGTTAATATTCACAAAGTAGTTCTCGAAGCGTAAAATAAATGTTCAGAGGACTTTGCGGGACTAAACTGAGTATTCCAACTAAAATACAAATAGGAAAAGTCTTTCTCATCACCATGGAAATTTTCATTAGTTTTTAATGATTAATACGTGGCTAAAATTAACCTGAGTTATGCGTTGAAGTGAAATGCAGGAAGTGCAATGCACTGGTGGCGTGCAGTGAGAGGTGGGCAGTGAGAGGTGGGCAGTGAGAGGTGGGCAGTGAGAGGTGGGCAGTGAGAGGTGGGCAGTGAGAGGTGGGCAGGGAGAGGTGGGCAGTGAGAGGTGTCTAATGAAGGTCCGATGGTGCAGCTGAAAATGCGCTCACTGCAGCCGATGGTGCGTTTGATAATGCATTTGGTAGAGCATCTGTTTGTGCACCTGGGGGTTCAGCTGACAGGGTCTACGACAATGACTATGCATTTTAACCAAGAATTCATTCTTAATCACAAAGCATTCTTAACCACTATGCAAATCTTCCCTCCGCTATTATTTAATTCATTATAAAACAAATTGCCTTGTAATCTACGAATATTTCAAAACATTCGTTCTGACATTTTACTGATCGAGTTCAATCTCCATCCCATGCTACTTGTTTAGGGAACATAATTAATCCCCGAGGATTACACGCGCCAGTGATGCATTTCTTGGAAAAACGATCATGGCGGCCGGGACCTCAATTACGATGAGGGAACTCGAGGTCAGGAGGTCTGCGATCCATGTTCTGATAATAGCGCACAATCATAGTAACATCCCTGCTACTTTGAATGAAGTGCACAGAATAGCATTCAATTAATCATTAAAGGATAGCATTAAAATAATAAAGAATAACATTACAATCGGTTGCTGTTATTCCGATTCACGCTTGTAACTGATACGAACATCGGTAATTAGATACGAATTTATCAAGGAACATTTAACGGTATCAACATCAGCTTTTGAAATTATCTTAAATTCATGTATCGGATTCGGTAAATAATATATAAGCATTATAAATTAACATGAAGATCGGCAATCAATTTCAATGACATTGACTCAGTTTGAGCGCGCAACATGCGACGTTTTTTCTGAATGGTGAACAAAACGTGACTTGCAAGTCACGGTAACAAAAAGGATTCGGAATGGCATGCTTCGGAAATTAACTATCCGGATTAAAAATACCTTTGAATTAGAGCACTGAAAATTGGAAAAATACTCTTGGAAATGGAGGATTACAATAATGAAAATACTTTTACATGAGTATGACTAGAGATTGGAACTAACTTTTGAGAATTCATAGCAAATCACAACAATGAAATAAAATCAACAAGACTAATCGGCGCAATATGAGTGTATGATATGCACAACCGTGATGTTTCATTGCACAATGATTGAATCATGCTGAATCATGCGCACAATGACTAAATCATTGCACAATGATTGAATCATGCATGCTGAATTATGCGCACAATGACTAAATCATTGCACAATGATTGTATCATTGCACAATTAATTAATTTTGTGTACAATGATTGAATTTTGTGCACAATGATTGAATTTTGTGTACAATGATTGAATTTTGCGCACAATGATTGAATTTTGTGCACAATGATTGAATTTTGTGCACAATGATTGAATTTTGTGTACAATGATTGAATTTTGTGCACAATGATTGAATTTTGCGCACAATGTTCGAATTTTGTGCACAATGATTGAATTTTGTGTACAATGATTGAATTTTGCGCACAATGACTGAAACTTGTGCACAATGATTGAATTTTGTGCACAATGATTGAATTTGGCGCACAATGATTGAATTTTGTGTACAATGATTGAATTTTGCGCACAATAATTGAATTTGGCGCACAATGATTGAATTTTGTGCACAATGAATGAATATTGCGCCAGTGACTGAATTTTGCGCACCATGTTTTAATCATGCGCACAATGATTGTACCTGACTGTTCTTTGCAACTGCGCTGAGAGTTCGAGCCAAATAGAGACAAGCGGCGCGCTAATTGAAATTTCGAGAGCGAGAAGCAGATGTTGCATGGTAGTGCAGATAGCTCCTTTCAATTAATTCAAAGTCAATGTATGGCACGGTAATTTTACAACAATTGAGCAAAAAATTTATACGCACTTAGGCGATGGCTTGAAACTCGACGACCCAAAAATTGCATTATTGACTGGTTGAAGTTGAATGGCGGAATCAAAGAAAGCTTGGGCCCCACTTACAAGAAAATTCTATAATATTTACCGATGTAACATAATAAAATTGGATAAATGACTTTTAACGATTTACATTTAATTCTTACAAGAGACGTTCATGGTTGGCTGAGCAAACCGAAACAGTTTAGTAACGGATCTTCATGTAGCCTGTATTAAAATATTTAAAAATATTATGGAAGCAAATTGTTATACAGTATGTTGAAACAATAGCATTATTGTGGGTAAATCGTAGTACCATAAAAAACGCATATAATCAAAATGATTATAAACATGAACATAAGTGTCTTCTATCCGCCTATTTCAGTGTGATGTCAATACGAGCAGGGAAAATGGCATAACATGCAAAGGTTTACTGACGTGTGTTGCAGGAGCGGTCGAGGGACTGTCACATCCATCATCAAAAAATTTAGTCAGGTGTGTTGCGGGAGCAGTTGAGGGTATGCGTAGAGCTACTTTGAACAAGTCACGAAAAGTACAAAAATCGGCGACAGGCCAAATTCTTCAGCGCCGATATCACTATGATATGATATGATATGATATGATATGATATGATATGATATGATATGATATGATATGAACTGATATGATATGATATGATATGATATGATATGATATGATATGATATGATATGATATGATGCACTATCAAAAGGTTTACTCACGTGTGTTGCGGGAGCGGTCGTGTCCAGGCATGCACTGGTCTGCCCATCGTTGAGCCACCATCGCCAGTTCGTCGTCCCATACCTGAGCACCCGTGGGCAAAATCAAATAAAAAATTTGAAAACAAGTAAAATATATATTTGAATTATACGATCCTTCTTTTAAATTTTGTTATCATTTTCACTACAATAGTGTTTTTACGACGCTCATTCATGACCAAAGGGATAAATGGGGCAAGCACTATAAGAAGCGGAATATGATGCACAATCCCTCCGTTCCAGGAAGTAAACTTTCATCGAGAGTTAAGAGTTTACGACAAAAATTAGTTTGAATTATTTATACTCAACATATGTGACATCTTGAGAGGATTAGCTAGTGGTACAATTTTCGTGAGTTGCCTAGAATGCGGAATTTCAAACCGTATTACAATATGAACAGCAGAAAATAATAACAAGTGAAAACACATAAATCAAATGAAGCTAATATGATAGAGAAGAATAAATAAGTCTCGTTACAGTAAATTAGTTTTTGAACTCACGGCCGACATGTTTCAGCAACAGTAAAAATTTTGTTGAAATTCGAAAGATTTTGTTGTAGCTACAGTCACCCAACTTTGAATAGAAATTTGCGAAGACAGTTAGATTTCTGTTTTCCAATTTCATCTCCTACAAGAATTGAGAGAACGCCTATCAAGAAATATACAAAAATGTCTTCCTATTTTATTAGGCGGACAGCATTATTTCACGTCCAAAACATTTTTACCCTTGCTGCTGATCGAATGACGGAGATCACAATCGCAATATCAGTTAGCATTCGCGACAATCCATATCGATCATTCACCATAAATATTCTTATAAAACGTCTGGTATCTCAAAACATAATTGAACATTTGAGGTATGCCTCAACGAATTTATCGGAATAATATAGTTTAGGGACAAAATTATAAATTGTAAGAACTAAACTTCAGAACATCAACGCTTGAAAGGGTAGAAGTTAAGCTAAGAAATAACTGAGCAAAGCAGAGACTTCAATGCCCAGTAAGAAGTTATCCGGGTGCTGTTCAACAACGAGGACGAAATTATTATTTAATCGTCTTCAGGAAATGTGCCATGATGTGAAATATGATAGAAGCATTTATTTTGAAATTCATACTCAAGGTACCAAAACTTTTTCAGGGGTTCAGCATGCTCTCAAACTAATCTGCATCATTCGTCCTTTTAACCTCTATTTGGTAAATCAGTACTCATTTACCACATATTTCATAGGCCTTGTAAAAAAATTTCGAAAAATATTATTGTATTTTCAACGACTAATATACTTACTCATATTGTAACATACCTTAGTATGTATCAATATGAATTATTACTACACTATTATAGTACTAGTATATTATTATTTCAAATACTTGTTAATTAATAAGCAGTGTTTACTAAAAAATTACTTGTGTAATATTTTTTACTATTTCAAATACTTTTTAATACGCAGTGTCGACACTAACCAAATAAATATACTATTATATTACTAGTGTATTACTATTCCAAATACTTGTTAACAAGCAGGTATGACACTGACCATGGTCTTCATGTTGATAGCAGCAGGTTGACCTCTGACCTGACCCAGGGCGGCCTCCTGCCTCAGCATGTTATGCTTCGTCAGGATGCGCTCCTTGTCGTGACACGTCAGCTCCCCGGTACCTGTTGCCGACATGTTACTCTCATTAGGCTAATTATTACATACAAATAATTTCATTTAAGCCCTTTTGTATGATCTACTGATATAACCTTTATTTCTTTATTCCAATTCACATAAAAACTCTTATATGTAACCCTCATGCAATACAAATTAACTCGAAAATTTAACGTAAATTGGTTTATCTATATAAGCGTTGCATTTACTAAAACATGAAATTTGGCCTCGAGAATTGCAAGAAATAACATTAATAATTTTTTGTGTGAAAAACAGTTATTAGCACAACATTTTATCCGACTGGTTACTCAAATTGAGCTCAGAATACGGATTGGCAAAGTCCAGTTTGGCAGGACTCAGCAACAGCATTACTCTTTAAACATAATAAAATATAATACTGTTTAGAATATCAGCATCAAATTTCAAGCGAAGACGGATCTCTGGCAAATTGTAAGCTTGTTTGAAAATAACATAACATTATTTGACGAGTACAAATGAATGAAATTCAATAATTCTGATCAAAGAAATGTTATAACAGCAGCTGTTTAATGAAAGTGACATGATACTGCTCGGGGCACTTTAATAGAGACCATAAAATAATAAATAATTTAAGAATATTAAACAAAATTATTGAGAACAATTAGAAATGAAACTCACGGATGAGCATTTTGCCGGGGCACTGTTTGGGCATGAATGAACACATCGTGTGTCGAGGATCAATGGCAGCATACCGACAAGCCTGCACTGTAGCACACATGACCAGCAGCAACAGCAGCCAGAGATAACCTGTCCCTTCAAACCGGTTGCTGATACGCCGGCTATTTGCATCCACTCTGGAGTCTTTCAAATTGCACCGTCGACCACTGACATATTTCTTCCATTTCTGTTTTTCCGGACAATCGGTGACGTGGTTTATATTGAGACGAAGATCATGGCACTGACGTTTGGTCAATCGGCCCTGATTCTCTGCTAAGTTATTTTTTATAACTTTATTCAACCGTATCCTGTTCATTGGCCGTATGTTCGACAAATATGTTGAAAAACTGGAGCCTTTAAGCCGTTCCAAACTTTTTCTTCTTATATTATTTTTCAGTGGTTGACTGCGGGAATTTTCTGAATTGGAATTTGATCCTCCTGACATTTTTTTCTGATTTACAGAAATTATGCCACGTGGTAGGTGCCTAAAGGTTATTTTCCTATGCCTTGTACTAAAAGGCTGGTGTTGATGTCGTAAAAAATGTATCTTCTTATCATGATGCTTGTTGTTGACAAGTTTCGTGACTTGAACTGGTGATCGTTGGCTTTCTCGAGGACAAGCAGCTAAAGCGTTAGGTGTTCTCTTCCCAGGTACACCAACTGACATTCTAGTTCATTGACTTTTGTATCCTAGAAAGACTATGAAAAGGTTCTTATGAATACATACTATTAATAAATTTAAAACATTGTAGCTACAGTCACATTAAATACACATCAATGCCAAGCGACCGACCTTTAAAGGGTGAAAAAATTAAACAACCTATAAATAAATTTCGTTCTATTAAATCATGGAGCAAAATTGTACATCGACAGAAAATTGCTCACTGCTGATGAGTAGCATCGACGTCTGAAATGATGACACAATCGCAAAAGAAACTGCGTTGGCAGACCTATTTTCACCTGCGTGCGAAAAACTGTTCTTTAAATAGCTCTGAAATTTATTTTCGTCAAAGTCTTTTTATCGATTTCCGTTGTTCTTCTATATTGCGGAAATGATTTTTCGGTAGGTAAGTAGGTAAAGCTTACAGTTTCTTTATTGCGTCACGCAACATTTCAATAGCCGGGCGAAACTAATCAATTAGGGCCTCTGTTCCACGATACGTTATCATCATAAAAATAGTTTATATGTCCCAGGACCCCAACAACAGCCCCCACATGGCAGTCCTAACCATGAATATCTTAAGCGTCGTCCTGCAAGTAAATGAGCGACTTGACCTCACTTCCGGACTCCGAGATCCTACCCCCGTGGTGGCAGCAAAGATAGACTTGTCTCTCTCACCGCCCCCAGCTCCCCTCACTCCCTCACTTTGTGTCCTCGCTGAGCAGACAGTCTTCCTACTTTTTTATGCGGCTGTACACTCAGCAGCGGCCTAATTTAGACGCAATTATCTCTTTACGCCATCGCGCTTTGTTGTCAGGCGCCGTTGGGCAGTAAGAGGAAGCTAGAACTATTCACCATCAATAACTCTTTTGTGAGTGAAACGCTTCCATCACGAAAAATATTCTATTAGGAAAATTGGCCTCATTTCGAACATGCAGAGCATTAAATAACCAAAAATATTAGGAAAATGTCTGCCGAATTCAATTGCACGATAGGAACAAAGAAAGTGATCTGAATATTTTAAACAAGCGTACAACTTGCATTGCTCGATTAAAATTTGAACTAAATTCTCTACCATAAATGGCTAGTCCGTACTCGCGTCAGATGATTCCTACCGATGATTAATGCTTTGGTCAACATTGAGATTACTTGAATTGTAAGTGATCACTAGCCTGCATGATGTTTATAACATGAAACGATCTCAATTTAATATCAAGAGGGAATGTTATCTCGAAAATATGCCTGCTTCTCATTAACTAACTTTCATTTTCTTGGGAAGATGGCGGTGACTGGGCGGCGAATGAATATGTGGGGAGGGTTTGAGGGTGACATGAGAAATAAATGCTGATTCACGCTTGATTGAAGAATCTTGTTTGATGGGAGAGTCGTGCCCTTGACGAGACTATCTTTAGTTATTCAACTCCAATTTGACATCTATTGGCTGCGTGCTTGCTTGATATGCCGACAGAAAGTGCTCATTCGTATAAAATTTCAATTTTAATTTAACCTGTTCTCAAATTTCAAAATTTCATAAAATTGTTCAATTTTGACCAGTCACTGACGAATATTAATAATTAACAGAAATAATTATCATTAGTAAATTACGAGAAGCAAAATTACTTAATTGTTAAAAGTTAAAAGTGAAAAATATTACTTTCATCCGCGTTCAGGTAGCATCTAAATTTCTCGAAGAACATCCGCAAGTCCGCGTGTACAAATACCGCGTGAACGAAGTGAGGCATGCAGCCATCCTTGATCCTGAGAACTGATGTAGGAATGAGAATAGAAAACAGCAGGAACTTTAATCCTGCTACTGAAACCCCATGTATTCTGAAACACAAAACATCATTTGCAACTAATCATGCACAAAAGCAACTGAAACCCTCCCAGCAAGAAAATCAGAAGTAATTTGTTCCGCAACATATCATAAAAATGGCACCAATCTTACACACCGCACTACAACAATATTTTTACGACCAGGAGAAACTGAGTTGAATTCCGTAGGTGACACTTGAATATCAGAGCGACTGTGTTTATAAGCGCAAGGCCTTGGCAGCTTCGCTTATAATTGGCCGAAGAGGCTGGCAAACTCTCTTTGATCTCACGCCGACTTCGTTTTTATTCCGAGATTGGTACAGAAATTAGCATTCGAAGCAGAGCACAAGGGAGCGATGGCCCAGGTGAAGATATTTATCCCTATACATTAGTTCATTCAATAAATTAGCGTGGTTATTCATTTCTTAAATACGCATCAAAAGCATTGCTTTCAGCGAAAACATTTTCGTCAATTGCATTATTTCTCATGCTGCAAATCAGTTGTCTGCCTCGATCATGTGACAAAGCAAAGGTTTTGTAATAATAATAAATCATTACAGTATTCACCACCTACAGAATGTTCGAAGGTGGGTGACTTTGACTTCGGCTTCTCGCTTCAGACGAGTTCGCGTTCTCTTGGTTCCTATTTTTCGAAAATCGTTGTGCCTTCATCAGAATGTATTTCAAAGTACGCAGCACTAATCTGACATATAAATACTCATTTTACTTTCATCTTTCAAATGCGTTTTATGGCATGTATCAGAGGTTTAAATGTTTAATGCATGAATAAATGAAAATTGGTAAGATGATATTCTTTTTAAATTAACAATGAATACCTAACGAATCCGTACGTTATTACTATCTTTGACATCATTTTCGTATTATTTATAATTTGAACAAATTTTTTTCAGTTTTGACTGAGCTCGAGGTGGGTCATCGCTTCTGCTCCTGATTGAAACAAACTCGTTAGATGTCACTATGAATAAAAGCCTCATTGGAAAATTAAGTGCACTAAGGTTCATTGTTGAAGACATCCAGTATCGAAGCCCTACTAATGCACTGCGTCTCTACAGCTTACATGCAGAGACTCCAGGTAAGTTGATAGACCCAACGCTTTTGCTTCTTAATTGAGGCGTAAAATTACTCGGGATAAAATTGTTGCCTGCTTAAAGCATTCGGATATTAGAATAAAAAACGAAAGAGCACGAGTAATAAGTTCTTTTGATAGCTTATATCGCTTATTAATCAAGAATTTAAAGCAGTATAGCTGGGATGGTGATAAACCATATTTTATTTGAATTCGGTGACCGATCATTCATCATGCAGTTCAAAAATTCAATAATACAAGTATAAGCAACTACAGACGATTAAATCCTTGCATTAGCGATAAAAATATTGAAAATTTGAGTTAAATAGTTATAGTTACTTTGGATAATTATAGCTGAACATAATCTTAAATACATTAGTACATTAGTATGACCAACATTATGAGTAATTCCATATTCTCTGTCATGATGCTTTCAGTTTGAATTTTGGGCTTCTTGTCTTTAAGTTAAAGTTTGACTAGCATATGTTATTCTTTTTCAGTACTTATTTCATTGTTATACTAGCAATTCCTATTTGTTCCTTTACAGTTTTTTTCGCTAAATGGAATTTACTCTGAAAGAAATCGTCAAGGAGACGGATAAATTTTGTCGGCCATTTTGTTTCTTGTTTCAGATAAGCTTTTGATTCAGTTTTAGTTGTTGCAGCATAAATTGCAGAAGCTCAAACAGCAGCTGCAGTAGAAGCGCCAAGGTCTGCAGTGCCAAAACCATGCAGACAGCCTAGGTGCCACCGCTGATATGGCATCAGGTCAGTGCCGCGCCGGACCAGCGACCACAAAATATTAAAATTTCAATGCTGATTCCAAGTAAAATGTTCTGAGCAGCCGTTATATCTATATCGCAAATATTTTTAGAATATGTAGAATACAGAACACGAAAATTTAAGACTGATTGTCCATGAACTAATAATTAAAGCTGGACTTAAAGTTTGTCTATCCCAGCTGCAGGACATAAACTTATTCAATAAAAGGAGCGGAAGATAATCTTTAATATCTTACAGCAGTCAACTGGCATCGTTCGAAGAACTCAATACAGAACTGAGTGCCCTCAAGAACTCAAGACAGAACTGAGTGCCCTGAAGAACTCAAGACAGAACTGAGGCGCAGGTTCAAGGCTCGCCCCATAAATAAGATCGCCAGGGCGCCTGGCGCTCGAGTACCTCAAGGCACCACGCGGTGACATCGCCTCGTGCATTCCATTCAGGAGAAAAACATGCAGGTGGACAAGGACAAATATTCAAGGAGAAAATAATGCATGTGGACAGAGACATATATACAAGGAGAAATACATGCAGGTGGACAAGGAAATAACATGCAGGTAGACAAGGAGAAAAACATGAAGGTGTACAAGGACAAATGTTCAAGGAGAAAATAATGAATGTGGATAAAGACAAATATATATACGAGGAGAAATTTATGCAGGTGGACAAGGACGAAATTTGCAGGTAGATAAGAAGAAAAACGTGCAAGTAGACAAGGACAAATATTCAAGGAGAAAATATTGCAGGTGGACATAGACATATATACAAGGAGAAAACATGCAGGTGGATAAGGACAAAATATGCAGGTCGAGAAGAAGAAACTCTTACAGGCAGACAAGGGCCAATGCAAACGTACATACATATAAGAACAAAAATATGCAGATATGCGTACTAGGATAAAAGCACGCAGAAAGCGAAGCTTTCCTGCTCCCGAGTGCACAAGCATACCTACGCAAACCGAATGTTCACAGCAACGCCACCTACCTACATTATGCTACCTATTTTTCTTGGTGGTTTTTCAACGATTTGAACGATATTAGTCGCAGGTGTAAGCAGATCAAAAATCAGGCTTCCGAAAGACAAATAAATTCATAAACGACGTTTCGATTAGCGCGTGTGTGCGCAGCAGAAGCGTGTAAGTGCGGTGCACTAGAGTGTACGGTGGTAGTATGTATATACAGTACACAGCAGTAGCATGTGTGTGCAGAGCAGTCGCGTGTACTGTCACAGAAGTGGCTTAATTGTATGTGCACAGCAGTAGTATGTAAGTGCGCAGCATTGGTGCACTAGTACAGCAGCAGCAGGCATGTATACTCCAGCATAAAACTTATCACTACGTCTTGGCAGCTTAGTAACCAGGCTCTGCGTGGATGACCTCTGCCCTAGGTAGCAGTTGGCGACAGCTGTGACTCCTCTTAGATCCAGCACCACCCTTAACACTCTCTAGTAGTACACTTTAGATCTAGCACCACCATACCACTCTCTAGTAGCGCACTTTAGATCTAGCACCACCCTACCACCATCTACTAGCACACTTTAGATCTAGCACCACCCTACCACTCTCTACTAGCACACTTTAGATCTAGCACCACCCTACCACTCTCTAGTAGCACACTTTAGATCTAGCACCACCCTACCACTCTCCAGTAGCACACTTTAGATCTAGCACCACCCTTACACTCGTTACTAGCACACTAGATCTGACACCACCCTACCACTATCTACTATCACACAAGATCCAGCACCACCCTTATACCACTCTCTAGTAGCACAGTTTAGATCTAGCACCGCCCTACCACTCTCTAGTAGCACACTTTAGATCAAGTACCGTCCTACCACTCTCTAGTATTACAATTCAGATCTAACATGGCCCTCTTCACCTTTTAGCACCAATCCATAGATCTGACACCACCATCCGAACTTCAGAGATATCGCAGCACCCTGCTTACCAATACTAACTTC